TACTCAAGCTCACTAAGTATGTTATGCGTTGTTTTCCTCTATCCCTCTTGCTGTCAATCTGTCCTGTGAGTATCAGATTTTCCAAGCTATTTTTCCCCATTATGTGCTCTAGAAATTTCAGCTATCTCTTTCTGATGTTATGTATAAGCATCCGCTGCTATGTGATCTCTGAAAGAGACCCAACCGGTGAGTTTTGAACAACGATGCCAGCCGCTGGCAGGCCCGTTACAGGCGCCGCTGAACAAATAGTTTCAGCTCGAGGGGGATTAGTATCCGATTCAGGTGGGACTCCAGTGGCTTTCTTCTCTGAGCAGATAGGAATGAGGTGACCTCTCATGCCACATTTCTGATAAGTTGGTTTCCTTCCCTTCACTATGACCATGTAATTTTTCTCGTCTATCTTCAAGCTGTTGAAAATGGAGGTGAAGGCTTCTCAGTCATCAATGCGAACCCTTATTCACCATCTCATATTCTGGGGTAATACTTACTAATTGGCCATACTGCATAAGATATGCCCCTCTGGGGTCTCCGAAAATATAGACAGGAATCTCGTATATCACCGTCCTCGGTATTCTGTGCGGATGATATTGTCCTTTGTGATTAAATCACGGAGGGGACGTTATATCCACACAGTCGTCTGGCGTGGACAACAGTATGTCCCACATGAAGAAAAACCTTTAATTATTTGTTGAGGTTTAACCCCCAATGAAATCAGTGATTTCATTACTGTGTCTTTTGTGCACCGACAATTTTGCGTCTTAGCTTGTGGAACACAAAAACTGACACTGTGCTTTTTTGCAATTCGCTTTTGTGCATCGAGGTCTATTAAAAGCCTGCCATCGGTAACCAATTAAGTGTACTGTTTGGCTCTTTCGACAAACTCCGCCACATTGACTATGCATTTAGGGGGTGGGGGGGTCTCCAAAATAGGGTGATTCTCTTGCAGCTACACCGTTGATTTCGTCAGTCGCCATACTGGTGCTTGGTTCTTTCTCATTTTTTTTTTACTTTCCTCTACAACGGAGGAGGAAGATTTATCTTTCTCCTTATAGGGTCCACCATTGGAGGATATAATTTTCTTTTCTTTTTTAGTGGTCTATTTTTTGGGGGGGGGACGGCTTCATTTTTGTCTAGTGGATCTGCCTTAGTGGCAGATCCAGATAATTTTTTTTTCATGAACAGACTTTGGTCAACCATCTTGAAAGGTTTTTCTGGCCACAAAATTCAAACGAAGAAAAAAAAAAAAACGAAATAAAATGCCGAACAAAATACAAAATAAAAACAAACTTTCAAGGAGGCGGCAAAACAAGTTCGTTGCAAAAAAAAAAACAAAAAAAAAAACAGAAGAATACAAAAATTAAAACAAAACTTAAAAAACAAAAATTAAAACAAATTCGGCTGCAGCTAAAAGAAAGTAAAAACTGAAAATGAAAAATATACTCAACAAAAAGAAAACAAACTTTGTCAAAAAGGAAATAAAAACTTAATGTTAAATATCCAAATAATGGTCTTCGTAGCTAGTCAAAAGCTTGTCACTTAGAAAGCGTCCAACGACACGAACCGACATCAACGTGTATTCTCCTAATATTTATTGTAAAAAAGTACAAATAAGTCACATAAAGCCACTTCACTTGTCCTATCGATAACTTAGCTAGCCTCAACCATGGACCAACTCGTTCGTAAATTGTTCCTTTCACCAAAATATCTCATCTACACAACACTACCATACACAGACGCCATAATACCACATTTACTCTCAGAATTCCTACCTAATCCCATATATACAGTCGTCATAGATAAATCTAAAAATATATCCCCAGTGTTCATGATGTAAAATCTATCTACACAACTAAACAAAATTAGTATCAGTAACGGGCACCCCACAGTCTGATCATGGCAGATATAATCCAATAATTCCTATCAAATCGTGAACTGAAGGTCATTCTGAATGGGCTTGCTTACAAATCCTTTCACATGAACGCGGGTGTCCTCCAAAGCTATATCATGGGTCCTACACTGTTTCTGATCTTCATCAATGATCTTCCTGATGTCATCAGTTCCCAAGTAGGCATTTATGGAGATGACACTACCATTTACTTCTGTCTCAATAGAAAATCCGTCAGCGCTGACAAAGTTAACCTAGCCGTTGCTTTCGAAAAGGATCTCCAATCAGTGGTTAACTAGGGCAGGAAATGGTTTCTAAATTTTAATGCCTCCAAAACTAAACTGCTCACATTTAACCACCATAGAGAAACTGCCTGCCATCAGCACGGCTGATGCTCAACTCCAAGAGAGCGTCTCACTCTGCCTACTTGGTCTCACATTTTCGACTGACTTAAAGTGGAACAACTACATTGAATCAATAGTGGCATCTACTGCAAGGAAATTTGGTTCATTGTGTCTTGCCAGAAGTTTTTTTATCGTCAGAGTCCATCTTACACATCTACAAATCTACCATTCGTCCATGCATTGAATACTGTTGCCATATCTGGTCTGGTGCACCTGCTATTCATCTCGAGGTTATTGACAAAATCCAAAGGATCTGTAATATAATCGATTCTGTCTTTGCATCTTGACTTCAGTCACTTTCTCGCAGATATGATGTGGCATCCCTTTGTCTTATCTATAAATATTTTAATGGAAACTGCGCTGACAAGCTTTTTTTCCCTATATGAATTTAAGCGTGCTACTAGATTGGCATCAAGGTCCCACCCTTTTACATTTGAAATAGTTAAATTTAACCGCCACTTTTACTTCAACAGTTTCTTTTTCGCACTTCACAACAGTGGAACTTCCTTCCTTTTACTTGTTTTCCTGAAAATACTATCTTCAAAAATGTAAGTGCAATGTCAATCGCCATCTTCTGTTGTTTTAAACCCCGTTCATCTTTTATCCTTACCTCAATCACCCATTTTCACTTTCTGTAACCCCCTGTGTACTAGTGGCACTCCCGCCTTGCTTGGGGTGAAATACTTAAAAAAAAAGTTAACTGGACGAAAAATGCTGCGGGATTAATAAAATGATTTTCATGGACCCGTTCTACAATCACGAACACTAGCAGTCAAACACAATAACAGTTACGGAAACTCACACTCGAAAACGAAAGACATCACACGGTTACCAGAGAACTGCAATCCCTGTCACCTAAATGGGAGGAAGCGGAATAAACCAAAGAGAAAATGAGTGGGGCGCAAAATAAAGGGCCGATGATCATCCATACCCTAGCTAAGTTAACTTCAGCGGTTTAAACCAAAAGAAAAAATTACTTATGTTAACCTAACACTGGATGATAAATGTTTAGATCAGGCGAAAAATTTTCCTCATACCTAGGACACCTCCTAATGCAACTCTAAATTAGCCCCACTCAAGCGAACCAACCGCGAAACATTCAACCACCTTTTACCGAATTTTGATGAAGAGAGTCATCTCCTTCCGGCCATACTTTTGACTTTAAGCTGGTGCTTAAAGAACAAAATTAGTTGAGAAAAGGAAAATTTCTCACCTCCATAAAATGCCTTTTGTCGCGTCGTCCAAATAAGGATTCTCATGATGGCAAGTAAACACAAGAACAAATAGTGATTGTTCCTCTTCAGCTGCGGAAAAACATTGCTACAAAGGACAAAAAATTTTCCGCCCAGGATGTAAACCATGTAACCTTCAATCAGTCAGCACAACGACCGTACGGCGCAACAGCGAAAGAAGATGTGCATCAAGGATTCATCTGCCCACCGCAAAGCACTCACTTTAGCGTAACTGCCAGCTCCGCCGCACAGAGCTTTTTGCCGGCCCACAGGGAATTCTACAACAGCAGCCAGGTGAGTGATGCCTCGTCGTTATTGAGACACCTCCACCTGGACGCCCAAGCCACAGAGAGCTAAACTCTTCATTCGTCAAATCTTGAGCGATTCCCACCCGCACTAACACAGGACAACAGAAGGGTGTAGGAGAGGCCTAACTTAATACGTCTGAAGTCTTTCAGAGCAAGTCGACACTCGCGATAGAAGGAACACCCGGCTCGAGAATTACGGCGAGCTTCCTAATCGCCATCATGCACACTTCTCAAAGGCGGGAATGCTTTCTTAGCATCTTCCTTCCAGAAGAGGCCGTTTTTCTCATCTTGCATATACATTCGATCCAGGAATTTGAGCCGTAGCGTCTGTTGACGAACCTCAACGTCGGACATTCCTCAAACAGATAGAGGCAATAGACCTCGCGACACACCTTAGGAGCTCTGTCGCCCCACAAGAGGGCAACAAGTCTCGAAACAATAAAATTATCTCAGCGCACGAGTGTGGAAGTACCGAGAGCCGGTAAAGAAGATGGGGTAGATGTGCGAGACACAAACTTCCGCCTTCTCCTTTAAGGAAAGCCTCCTCAGAGACCACAGACGAACTGCCGCTTTAATCTTTTCTAGGACTTCCAACCGATTCTTCTCCAACTGAAGGTCGGGGCCAAGCCAAACGACGAGTATCATGAGACGCCCGTCCGTTCAAGTGAAGGTCCGGAAAGTGAGACTCCATTCCACGCACCCAACTGCAAGCCTACAGAGTTCCTTAGCTCCTGTTGTCGTCTCATTCCTGCTGTGTTCCTTGGTGACTTCCTCAATCTCAGCCTTGCTTTTTTTTTTTCTCGAAAGCAGTCACGTTGTCGATGGAGTTGGAATACCGATGTTCGTATTTATGTATTTAGACGAGTCCAAATCCTCTTCTTGACAGGTGTGTTATTCTTCACAACATAAAGTCTGTAAACGTGGGAATGTATATACCAGTCCCTTCGGTGACCATTACACTTATCTACATCTATCATACTTCCATTTTGTTTCGTCTATCTCAACAATTGTAATACAAATTCTTAGAGTGCTTTGTTTATCCAGCAATATATAATCTTCAGTATGCACTCCATCTTAAAGTGGGAACCAGCAAACCAACTGTTGTGCCTAGTAGATTTCCTGAACCTACACTACACCTGTAAACTAACTTGTCATACTTATAGCAACATAATGTTGAAAACACCAGTTCTCGTTCGATCATCGAAGTTAAACAGCGCTGATCCCGGTTTATACTTAGATGGTGGACCGCTTGTGAACACCAGGTAATTTAAGCAACATCATACGATTCAAAATGTTTCAGTTTTAAATAACTCATAAACTGTTGATAAACTACAAATCAAACAATATTTATATGAATTATCGATAATAATGTTAAAATGCCAATTGCACATTTTTCACGTTTCCTCCCCGTAATCCGATCATTAATTCTTTTTCCTGAAGCTAGTTAATTAATTCCGACCTGCTGATACAAATTTTAAAAATATCTTCATTTTATCTATTATTTTTATCCTTTTTTATTTGAGCATGATATTAATTCTTTTGTCATTATTGCTTCGGAAATATCATTCAATTGTTCAAAAGTTAGTAAGCGATTACTTTTTCTGTGCGTGCAGCTAAAGAGTCATCAAGCCGAAAATACTGAGACATACTTAATAAACACTAAAGAAAAAGGCAAACAGGATTCACAAGTACGCTTCATGTGATACAAAGAACAAACAATGCATTCTAAATATGTGACGCGACGTTGGTTAAAGGAATAACATTCACTCTTGTTGAAAAACAAAACAAAAACATGTGAGAAAGTATATTTTCCTTACTTAAGTGTTCGGAGAAGAGGTTAGATCGGAGCAATGTATGCATAATGTGATTCATGTAGAGAAGAAAAGGAAGCGGAGTTGAATGTATTATTTTCTCAATATTTAAAGATTGGTACTGAAACTGATTTTGGAGAGAATAGAGACAAAAAGAAACATACTTAACATCAGGAAGTGACAGTTGTGGTTTATGGGCCATGTAATGAGGAAGGAGGGCTTGGAAAACATGTTACTCACGGGACAGATTGAAGGGAAGCGGGGCAAAGGAAAGCAACGCGTAACATACTTGATGAGCTTGAGCAAATGGATGACGGAAAAGGGTTTGGGAGAAATAACAAAAAGATAAAACTTATTAAGAACTGCATGAGACAGGAGGATGTGGAGAGCCATGGTAGTCTACGTCCTGAAAGGACACGGCACAAAAAAGAAAAAAAAGAACTGAAATTGATATTTTTATTAGAACTATCAAAGTTCGTTCATTTGTTGCATGTTAGGACTCGCAGACATTTACCCGCTATAGTTTGCAAGTGACTGTTTTTACCTCTATTTTATATTACCACTATTTTTTGTTACCTCTATTTTTGTTGCCTCTATTTTTGTTACCCCTATTTTATCTCCTTTTTTGTTGCCTCTATTTTTGTTACTTCTATTTTACCTCCTTTTTTCTTACCTCTATTTTACCTTTATTTTTGTTACCCCTAATTTACCTCCTTCTTTCTTACCCCTATTTTACCTCTATTTTACCTCCTTTCTGTTACCTCTATTTTTACCTCAATTTTTTGTTACTTCCATTTTTACGACTTCATGCCATCCATCTACTTCAATATTTTTGCACTTGTTGGCATCTGCAACAAGATAAAACAAACAAGAGATACTGCAAGTGATATTGAAATGTGCAGCATTGAAATTCTGAAAAGCCGGCAGAAACTGAAGAATCAAAGCGACACTGTAGATGGAATCAGAAACAATAAAGTATGAAAATCTATATTATAAAAAAAAAATACAATTCCCTGTCCGTCACACATTGTGTGCATATGGCTAGGTGTAACCGTAAGTTCAAAGCTGACATTTTTCTTCTCTACCACTTCTTGCTTTTGAAACTCTCTTCCGGCTTCTTGCCCTCCAGTCAACTTTGACCTTCAAAATTTTAAATGTAACTTCAATCGTTAACTTTTGTCTTCTTAATTCCTGTTCGGTTATTGTTGTCTTTCCTTAATTATATTTTTTTCTCTTATTCTTTCAAACCTCTTGCGTCTTAGCGGCTTTATTGCTTTGCTTGGGTGAAATGATTAAAAATTCGTAGTTCGACCACGGTCGAGATTGTAGTCATAGTGAACTCTAGGCTCTTGTCGACGGCTGCATAGTATGTGCTACATCACGGTTACACACCGTTTTGAATTCACAGTTGTTCTTTGTCTGGTTGCCAACCAAGACTAAAGAGACCAGTCTGTCATAATCCATAACTGAATGGATTCCTACCTTTTCCAAGGGAATTTACGCGAAAGTAAATGTAACGAGAGGAGGCTCGGTGGAGTGATGGATAGCAGCTCAGATTGAGGAATTGGAGAGCGGTGTTCGAATTCCAGTCGAATCCATTACATTCACTTCATGCTTATACTCTTGGGAAAGGTATGAATCCTCTTCGTCTCCCCCAGCTATGGCTAAATAAAGAACGGGTTATATAGCCTTGGGTGGCAACTGGTCTAGGAGAAGGACAACTCTGTTTTCAAAACCTGATCCTCCAAGTTGGGGGTTGTACAATAGACTAACAACCTACTCACTTAAAAACTGGCTTGTTATAGAAACTGCAACGATATCTTGCGGCCCTATGTTCTTCAATGAATTTAAAGACATAATATATATAAATGTAACAAACCCGGCCAGAATTCGAACCAGAATTCGAACCGTCGGTCTCTCGTTGCAAGTCACTAACCATTCAGGACCACGTGTCCCTTTTATTGTCCAGTCTTCTTAATACTATTTTCCTCATATTCTCTAGCACTCAGTAACCCTTGTATCCTAGTGGTTGTATTGCCTTACTTGGAGTGAAATGATTTAAAAAAAATAAATAATGCGTATTCGTGTGTCTATGCTGTGACTTACAAGTGCTTGTGCCGTTTAATATACACACAAACACACGCTCAAACATATGCACACACAATTTGACTGCTTTTGAAATAAGACATTAGAATAATACGTTCCCCTCCCACCCAGTTTGGCCAATCTGAGTTGAGCAATAAAATGATAAATTTGGAGACAAAAAAAAGACGTTAATTTTTTAAAACCTAAAACGACAGATAATTATAAGATTTTATTAAACTATTCGAAAATTATTCCGTAATATATAGAATTAATTTTTAAAGCATTTTTTCAAAAAAAAAAAATATGTAGTAATATTTCCAGGTTTGTTATTGAAGTAAAACATATTTGGGCACACGCAAGCGTGTATACGCACGAACAGTCTGAAAGAAATTGAAATGACTATCATTTCCGCGAGGACTAATTTCCCTTTTCTGTTTCTGGATAACAAGAAAAGATTATAAGTCGGCTCTTTGAATTTATTTTTATGACTCCTTCTGTATTCAAACTGAATATATCTTCTAATAAATGTAGTATTTTAAGTGGACAAATGATTTAGATTTGAGGTTTGATTATCTTGCCGTCAGCGAATCGACAGGTAACTAAAAAGTAATATATTAAGAGAAAAATAATATAAAAAGCAATTATATCAGAGTAGGAGTATATAGGTTCGCCTACCGTCCAGTTTACACCGATAACCGGTCTTTTGAACAAAAGTAGCAGTTTATCCTGGATTGGGCTTCTGGATCATTCTAAAGTTTGCTACAGCTCTGTGCTCTTAACGCTTCTTCTTTCCTACGCTAATATAACTCCACACGGTAAATCTCTACCTTGAGTGCTTCTTGGGCCTTGTATAGAGTGAACATTAGTAAAAAACGAATAAAAAAGAACATATTTTTTTACTATGTGAAGCTTAGATGAAATGACACGGAATGCTGGATTTGGTTCGTGGGTCGTAGTTGCGTAGAATAAAAAAAAACATAGTAACATAGAAACGGAAGAAAGTAAGTAACATAGAAACGGAAGACGCATAGTAGAAACAGTGGAAACATAGTAATACAGAAACACAGAATAAACAGAAATATTATTGGGTTGTCTGGAAAGTTTATGCCGATTTTTAGTCGTTCATGTTCCAACACGTTAGAAGACATCAAATTTATCGACATAATATGCTTAAATTTACAATTAGGGCACACTTGAAACTATCTCTTGAGAAAGAAAGTTTAAAATTACTTATTTCGTGTCAATTTAGAAGATTATAAGGTGCATTTTAGACACTTGAAGCGTTTTTGTTTTTTTACCATAAAGACATAAAGGCCTCGCAAGCAAAACAAACATGTGCTGTGTACGCTGAAGTTGCTTTAGCTGACAGAATTGTACAGAAGTGGTTCGCTAAGTTTAGAGTCGGTGATTGTAGCCATATTGATGCAGAAAACTCAGGCAGTCTCCCCCCGCCCGACACACACTAAAGATGCCGACCAAATCAAGATACTGATTGAGAAAAACCCGCATTCTACAACGCAGGAATTAGCAGAAACACTAAATTTATCAAAATCTACCATCCATGAAGCTTGAGTAATCAAATTACCACAATGTTTGGTTACCACATGATCTGAGTGAAAAGAATCTTTCGTATCACATTTCATCTGTGATTTGCTGTATAAACGCAATGAAAATGCACCATTTTTTAAACAAAAACGACATGAGTCAACTTTAGCCAACTCAAAAGCAGGTCTTCATTCTAAGAAAATCATACTGTGTATCTGGTGGAATTGGAAACGAATTCCGTTTGGTTCCTTCATCTTATTCTGTCCCACATTGCTTTCCTTGATCACAGAGCAGTGAAGATCGAATTACGTCCATACTTGAAACATAGTGACATAGAAACGGAAGAAATATACTAACATAGAAACGAAAGAAAGTAAGTAACATGGAAACGGAAGGCGGAAGGCGTAAAAACAGAGGAAACAGTAATATAGAATCACTTGAGCTCTAGATCGGACGACAGCAGAACCGTGCTACAAATAGACAAAGAACGCTTCCGCTGGCGATAATGAAAAAAATGCACAACAAAATAATGGGTTTATTTTCAATTGATTAAAAAAAAAGTCGTTGATACAAAAAATAATCCTTTCCGTTTAACTGTTTATCGTGACACTATCTCTTTCTTCTAAAAACAACGTCACAGGGTGGCCGGAAGCAGGTCATGTGGGGTTCAGCAGCTCCCTCGTCCGCTGCTGACTTATCTCGACTCTCGCTCCAACTGCTAGCTTCAACTAAATGCTCTGTTTATATGTATTTCGCCCGTCTCCTACTGCAGCTCAGGACTCATCGATATTCATATCAATTAATTATTTTCTCCAACCTTGGA